ATATATATATATATATATATATATATATATATATATATATATGTGTATATATATATATATATATTCATACATAAATAAGTATATATATATACAATCGCGCAAAAAAATATATATATGTATATATATATATATATATATATATATATTATATGTAATATATATATATATATATATGTATATTTGTACATTTATTTATATACGTAAATGCGTATCTATCTATATCTCCCTACATATATATATAATATAAAATATATATATATTATAAACCCTAAGTAATATTACTTCGTGGTGTGTACAGCAGCAATAAATTAAGTAAATAGAAAAGATAAGAAGGGCAGCAAAGGTTAAAGTATGTTTGTTTATTTCTTGTATATCTCTACTCTGTCTTTATTGCTTCTTTATCTCTACTCTGTTAATATTTTTATTTAAATTAATAAACGCTAATAAAAACCTATAAGAAGATATACACTTAATAAAGATAAAGTTTAGATGAAAAAAGAGTTGTCCTTTCTCATCTATATATTCATTTAACTCATATATATATATTTATATATATCTATATACATATATATAGATATATATATAAATATATATATAATATATATAATATATATATAATATATTATATATATATACGATGAGCCTCTGCATCACAATAAAACGTAAAAGAAAATATAAAGAGAGACAAGATGAGAGGAGTAAGAGATAAGATTTGTTATGTTTGTTTATCTCTTAATAAATTAAATTAAATTAAATTAATTAAATTAAATTAATTTAATTAATTTAATTTAATTTAATATGTTTTAATCAGTGCTCTTCTATCAGGGCCTACCCCTACAAACCAAATAGGTATATCTAACAGTTGCTGCACTCTTTGTATATATTTACGAGCATTGTTTGGGAGCTGCTCTATAGATGAGCATAACGCAATATCTTCAGACCATCCTTCAAGCTCTTCATATATCGGTATAATATGTTTAGCATAAGGCGTTGAGAAAGGAGACACACTTCTAGGTAGTACTTCATCTGTCTCCTTATTCTTATATGCAACACATATTTTAATAGGATTAATATTACGCAAGGCATCAAGCTTTGATAAACAAAGTGCTGAATATCCGTTAAAAGAATGAGAATATAATAATAAAGGTATATCTAACCAGCCGCAACGCCTAGGCCTCCCAGTAGTAGATCCGTACTCGTCTCCCTGGGATCGGAGACGATCCCCAAGTGTATCTGTAAGCTCTGTAGGCATAGGCCCTGACCCCACACGTGTACAATAAGCTTTAAATACACCTAAAACAAATTCTAAGCAACGAGGAGGAAGCCCCAATCCTATGCATGCGCTTGCTGCAGATGTATTAGAAGATGTTACATAAGGATAGGAACCCATATCAATATCTAATAGAGCAGCATTAGCCCCTTCAAGTAATAAACTGTCTCCTCTCTTCATTGCTTCAGCTAAGACATATCCTGAGTCGACAATACATCCTTTAAGCAGCTGTATATACACCTCATGTCTCTTTAATTCTTCTTCAAAGTCTACTTCTAACACACCATACTGTCTCTGTATATCTGCTGCTAGCTGCATATACTTCTCTCTGAACGTTGATATATCAAGCAAATCTATTACTCTTATACCTTGTCTAGAGACTTTCGTTGAATAACAAGGGCCTATACCCCTTAATGTTGTGCCGATGGACGATCCTTTTGCTGCCTTTCTTTCTTCTTCTTTTTTATCTACAAGACAATGAAAGTCAAACAATAAATGCGCTTGAGACGATATTAGCAGCCGCGATAATATGCTGCTATCCTTATTTAAACCTAATAAATAATCTTCACAATTAACACCCTTCTCCTTCTCCTTCTCCTTCTCCTGCTGCTGATGCTGCTGCTGCTGCTGCTGCTGCTGTTGCTGTTGCTGCTGCTGCTGGTCGTGTAGATCGATTGCTTGTTGCGCAGTGTATAATTCTTTGATAAGCTGTTTAAGATGAAGAACAACACCATTACCGATGAGAGCTTTAGTTTGTTTGTTCAGAATACCCGAGGGTAAGACATGAAAAGTATACTTGCTAGAGTTATAATATATCTGATGACCAGCGTTATGTCCGCCGTTAAACCGACAACAAAACCTAAAAAACTCGGCTAATATATCGACAATCTTACCCTTACCTTCATCGCCCCACTGTGCACCAACAACACATAACACCTGAGGAGACACCCCGTTAGGCCCTAGGCCCCAGCCTTCTCTTGCACTAATTAAACTCATTGCTGCTGCTGCTCCTGCTGCTGCTGCTGCTGCTGATGATGCTGCTGATGGTAATGGTGGTGGTGGTGGTGATGAAGGAGGTTGAGATGATGCTTCTTAGGCGATTTACGCGTTGTAGCTGCTGCTGCTGCTGCTGCTGCTGCTGCTCCTTTGAGCCCAGCTGTTGCTGCTGCTGCTGCTGCTGCTGCTCTTTTAAGCCCAGCTGTTATTGTTGTTGCTGCCGTTGTTGTTATTGCTGCTGCTGCTGCTGTTGCTCCCTTATACATGCAAGCCAGGGGATATGCACTGAATGAGAAGAACAAACGTCTATGAGACGCTGCTGCTGCTGCTGCTGCTGCTGCTGCAACCGCTGCTGCTGCTGCTGCTGCTACTGCACCTGCTGCTGCCTCTGGGGGGATATTATTGTTGCTGCTGCTAAAGAAAAACAGTGAAGAAAGACCTGAGAAAGCCGCTGCGTCTCAAGAGGTAGACGAGAGGGGGCTTCAGCTGTGCATACACCGCAGCAGCAGACCCCACAACAGCAGCAGCACAGAGATATACACACTCTCTAAACCCCTATTAATTGTTTGAACACAAAACTCTTAAACCCTAAACCCTAAACCCTAATATGTATGCTTAACCATCGCCCTGTCCTAATGCTTCACCCACAGCCCCCAGTAGGATGCTCGTACAGGCGCACAGCCCTAAACCCTAAACCCTAAACCCTAAACACTAAACCCTAAACCCTAAACACTAAACCCTAAAAACTAAACCCTAAACCCTAATCATTAAACTCTAAACCCTAAAAAAAACATAAACCCTGAAGACTAAAACAAAGACAATCTTTATTTAATATCGAGACCCCAACGCCTAAACAATGTTACGAGCAAGCATACCTAAACCCTAAACCCTAAACCCTAAACCCTAAACCCTAAATCTTAAACCCTTGCTAGCTACACTTCTGGGCCCTTACACAGGACTCTTAAATATCTCGTAGATATACGCGACGCAACAGCAGCTGCTGCTGCATGAGCAGCAGCTGCTGCTGGATTAGCAGCAGCTGCAACAGCAGCAACTGGAACAGCTCCCCAGCAACAGCAGCAGCAGCAACAGCAACAGCAACAGCAGCAAATGCATGCGAGGGGTTCTTCATCGTGGGGCTCAGCGGAAGCCCTGCGAGTTTCTGGGCTTGGCTCTGCAGCAGCAGCAGCAGCAGCCGCAGCAGCAGCAGCAGCAGCAAAGGAGGCTGCTGCTGCCAGAGGCCCCTTCCCTCCCGGCAGCAGCAGCACAGCAGCTGCAGCAGCAGCAGCAGAAGAAGAGAAGTGGGGTCTTGTTGCTCCTGAGGGTCGTCTGATTGAGGGCCGCCTGCGTGCGACAGCAGACACGCAGACTGCCTTGCGGCTGCTGCAGCTGCTGCAGCAGCAGCTGCAGCAGCAGCAGCAACCACAGCAACAGCAGCAGGAACAGCAGCAGCAGCAGCAGCAGCAACAGGAACAGGAACAGCAACAGCAGCAGCAACAGCAGCAAGCAGCAGCACGCGAATCTGAATATCGAATTCGCCGCATCTTGCTTGTAGACCCCAAGCAGCAGCAGCAACAGCAGCAGCAGCAGCAACAGCAGCAGCAGCAAGTGACGCTTGATCTCTTTCTGTCTCCTCAGAGCCTCGTGGGCTCGGGCCTTCTTCGCGTAGCAGCTCCGCTGCAGCAAGACTTGATGCAGCAGCTGCAGCGCAGCAGCAGTAGCAACAGCAGCAACAGCAGCAGCAGCAGCAGCAGCAGGATGCCCGAGGGTTTGCTGCTCGTGCATGAGGCCCCCGTCTCTCCTTCTATGGAGGAAATGCTGAAGGCAATGAACTTCGAGTAAGACAAAATATAGGGGTTTTAACGCGCCTTGAGGGTTTAGGGTTTAGGGTTTAGGGTTTAGGGTTTAGGCGGGGGAGGCGTCAAGGGTTTGTGCTTAGCGTTTAGCCCTCACGGATGAGGGTTTAGGGTTTAGGGTTTAAGGTTTAAGGTATATAGTTTTGAGGTTAGAGGATGGGGGCTAGGAGCCATGTGTTTAGGGTTTAGCGGTCAGGGTTTAGGGTCTAGCGATTAGGGTTTAGGGTTTAGGGTTTAGGGTTTAGGGTTTGTGTTGCAGGGCGCGAGCTGAGGAGTTTATATTGAGGAGGGTTTTTGAATTTGAAGTGGCTGGGGGCCCTCTAGAGATTACCTTCGACTGGAGATTTAGAGTCAGCTGCTGCTGCTGCTGCTGCTGTTGCTGCTGCTGCTGTGGCTGCTGCTGCTGTGGTTGCTGCTGGTGGTGTGACTGCTGCCGCTGCTGTTGCTGGTGTTGCTGCTGCTGCTGCTGCTGCTGGTGCGGCTGCTGCTGCAGCTGTTGCTGCTGGTGTTGCTGCTGCTGCTGCTGCTGCTGGTGCGGCTGCTGCTGCAGCTGTTGCTGCTGGTGGTGTGGCTGGTGCTGTTGTTGTTGCTGCTGCTGCTGCTGCATCAATCGTGCGGTGTACATACACCTGAATTGCTGCGGTGCGCAGGATGAGACGGAGACAGAAGAGATATACGCAGGCCAAGTTATTATAGACTTAGTTGCTGCTGTCCCCTTACTGCAGCAGCAGCAGCAGCAGCAGCAGGAGCAGCAAGAGCAGGAGCAGGAGCAGCAACAGCAGCAGCAGCCGCTGCAACAGCAGCAGCAGCAGCAGCAGCAAGTAGAGGAGCTGCTGCATCGCTTGCAGCAGGGCGCTGCAGTGTACGCAGCTAGCATTAATTTTAGGGGTTTTAATATTGCAGCAGATTTTTAATTATTGTTTTACTTTGCTGTTTATTTATTTGTTTTTGTTTGTCTCCTTCTTCTGCTGTCTCTCTATTTGTTTGTTTATTTGCTTTTTATTGTCCTGCGAGCTAGGGTTTAGGGTTTAGGGTTTAGGGTTTGTTTGGCTGTCTACCGATTTTCTCTGTCTCCTGTCCCCTAAACTCTAAACCCTAAACCCTAAACCCTAAACCCTAAACCCTAAACCCTTGTCCGCGCTTGGCTGTCTCCTGTACTAGAGCCTAAACCCTAGGCCTCTAAACCCTAAACCCTAATCCTTTAAATCCTAAGCCCTAACCCTATACACCCTAAACCCTAGTCTTCTAAACCCTAAACCTTAGTCTTCTAAACCCTAAACCCTAGTCATCAAAGTTTAGACCCCGTTGCTACGAAACCCAATAAAAGTTAAACGAGGTTTATCCTAAGAAGAAAAAGAAGGTGCGGCAGCCGGAATTGCTGCTGCCGCACCTGTTGCTGCTGCTGCTGTCTATACACCTTGTAGAGTGTTAGGCTGCTGCTGCAGCAAACGCCTAAGACAAAATATAGCAGGGTGTAGCTGCCCCCGCAGCAGCCAGCGGCTGTTCTCACTTCTGTCTATCCGTTCCTGCAGCAGCAGCAGCAGCAGCAGCAGCAGCAATAGCATGCAGCAACAGGAGCACAGCCAGCAACTGCAGCAATGCAACCAGCAACTGCAGCACGAAACCTTCAACGTACGTCTGCTTAAACAGCAGCAGCAGCAACAGCAACAATAACAACAATAACAGCAGCAGCAGCAGCAACAACAGCAGCAGCAGCAGCAACAGCAGCAGCAGCAACAGCATCAGCAATTGCGGTGTATCTGTGTTACCTTGAGAAGCTGCGCTCTACCGTGCAGCAGCCGCAAGCCCTTCCCTGCATGCGTTAGTGTTGCTGCTAGCGGCTGCTGCAGCTGCTGCTGCTGCAGCAGAGTATTAATATCTGAAGCCTCTAGGGGTCCTACCAGCAGCAGCGGCCTCCTTTTTGCTGCACCTGCTGCTGCTGCTGCTGCTGTTGCTGCTGTTGCAAGCATCTCTTCCACTCCAACGCTGCCCGCGATCTGCTGCTGCTCCCCAGCGTCTCCTGCTGCTGTTGTTGCTGCTGCTGTTGCTCCTGCTGCTGCTCCTGCTGCCGCTGCTGCTGCTGCTGCTCCTTCGTCTGCTGCATGCAGCAGCAGCTGCGGCTTCAGCTGCCGCGACCAGAAGCTGCCTAGACACCTGGAGTCAAACCTCTTTCTCTTCTTGCAGCAGCAGCTTTTGCTGCTGCAAGAAGAGCTGCTGCTCTTGCTGCTGCAGCATTCAGAGAAGCATCAGTCAACAAGACACAACCTCCACACGGAGCAGCAGCAGCACCAGCAGCAGCAGCAACAGGAGAAGCAGCAACAGCAACCGGAGCAGCAGCAACAGCAGCAGCAGGAGCAGCAAGGATGCCGCACGCGATCAGCAGTATCTCACCTGCAAGAGATGACGGCTCCTCCGTTGCTGCTGCTGCGGGTGCTGCTGCTGCTGCTGCTGCTGCTGCTGGCAGCAGCATCAGCAGCAGGCAGCGCTGCTGCAACAGTGCGGAGACGAACAACCCTAACAGATTCTGGTTCTCGTCTTGCTGCTACAATACACTCTGCCTTTGCTGCTGCAGCGTCATGCCTATCACCGCCAGCAGCAGCAGCTGCAGCAGCAGCAGCAGCAGCAATCGGAACATCTTGCTGCACCTTCACCCCTGCGCGCGCTGTTTCACCCCACAACCGCGCTGACAGCTCAGCCACAGCATGGCGAGACCTTACCTGCAGCACGATGCTGCTGCTGCTGCTGCTGCTGCTGTTGCTGCTGCTGCTGCTGCTGCTGGCCACCAGGGACTCTGGCAGCAGCAGGTGCAGCCGCTGCTGCTGCTGCTCCGGCGGCATATCTAAATACCAGCTGAGCCCAGCAGTGTTTGCTGCTGCAAGTGCTGCATGCGGCAGCAGCTGCAGCTGTTGCTGCTGCTGCTGCTGCTGCTGCTGCTGGAGGCCTGAAGGCAGCAGCAGCAGCAAATGCTCAGGGTCTAGTGCACAGAGAATCGCATCCAGTTCTTGCTGCACTGCCTCTCCCCCAATCGGCAGCAGCAGCACAGTACACCGCAGCACAACTGTCTCCTTTGTCTCCTTCCATACACAGGGATCGACACCTCCGCGCCAACGCCTGCAGCAGCAGCAGCAGCAAACACAGCAGCAGCAGCAAACGTGGCAGCAGCAGCAAACGTAGCACCACCAGTAGCAAGCGCAACAGCAGCAAACGCAGCAGAAAACGCAGCGGTAGCAGCAGCAAACGTAGCAACAGCAGCAGCAGTAGACGCGGCAGCAAGAGCAGCAAACGTAACAGCAGCAGCAGCAAACGCAGTAGCAGCACCAGGCGTAGCAGCAACAGCAGCACACGCAGCAGCAGCAGCAAAAGAAAGTGCACGAAGAGCTGCAGCAGCGGCTTCTGCTGGTGCTGCTTCTGCTGCTGTTGCTGCTGCTGTTGCTGCTGGTGCTCACCTGAGTTGTTGTCTCCAGTGAGGCCTCGAAGGTTCTGCTGCGTCTGCTGCGCTTCTGCGGTGAGCAGCAGCAGCAACAGCAGCAGCAGCAGCAGCAGCAGGTGTCAGTGTAGGAGCAGCAAATTCCCTAAACTTTAAGAAGCGGCTACGGGGGCCCCCCCGAACAGCAGCAAGTGTTGCTGTAGCTAATCGCTGTGCTGCAACAGAAGCTGGCAGCAGCAGCAAATGCTCCTGCTGCTGCTGCTGCTCCTTCTTTCGTCTGCTGCTGCTGCTGCTGCTGCCGCCGCCATCCGAATTGTCGCTTGCGTCGCTGCCTTCGTCGTGGGGCCCATTAGCAGCAGCAGAGCCCATTGAAGCAGTCTGCATGCAGCAGCAGCAACAGCAGCAGCAGCAACAACAGCAGCAGCAGAATGCAGCAGCAGCAGCAAACAGCAGCAGCAGGAGCTGATCCAACCCTAAACAACCCAGCAGCGCAACAACAGCAGCCGCAGCAGCAGAAGCCATAGCAGCAACAGCCGCGGAAGCAGCAACAACAGAAGCTGCAGCAAGAGCAGCAGAAGCAGCACCAACAAAAGGCGCAGCAGTAGCAGCAGAAGCAGCAGCAGCAGCAGCAGCAGCAGCAGCACATACCAAGGTTTGCAGGCGCCAGGTCTCCTTTAGACGGGGGTCTATTGGGGCCCCACATGTAGCAAGAATCTGCTGCTGCTGCTGCTGCTGCTGCTGCTGCTCTCCTGTCTGGCCCCCAGCATCTCCTCCGGAGGCCGAACGAGGGTAGAGTTGGTTTGTTGCTGCTGCTTCTGCTGCTGCTGCTGCTGATGCTCTTGCTGCTGTTGCTTGCAGCATACTAAATGAAGGCTGAGCGTAGCTACAGGGCGAAGGAAGGAAAGCACCACTGTCAGCAGCAACTGCAGCAGCAGCACCAGCTGCTGCTGCTGCTGCATCTGCACCTTGCTGCTGTTGCTGCTCCGCCCCTTCGCCACCAGCGAGCACTGCTCCTGTTGCTGCTGCTCCTGTTGCTGCTGCTGGAGGCTGCTCGTCTCCTGACGCCTCGCTGCTGCACTCGTCAATGTCCCCATCTGCTGCTGCTGCACCGGAGTCTGCTGCTGCTGCTGCTGCATGCGGTGATGCCCTGCTGCTGCTGCTGCTGTTGCTGCTGCTAGATTCTGTTGGCGTCTGCTGCTCGCTAAGTAGCAGAGGCGACTCCCCTCCGTCAGCCTGTTGCTGCTGTTGCTGTTGCCGCCGCTGTTGCTGCTGCTGCTGTTGCTGCTGCTGCTGCTGCTGCTGGCGCCTCTTCTGAGCACGTGCCTTTCTCTCTTCTTCAAATATGGTGTATAATGCATCAGCAGGAAGCGGCATTTGTCTCCTTTGCTGCAGCAGCAGCTGCTTTCGGTTGGGGCCGCGAGAAGCAGCAGCAGCAGCAGCAGCAGGAGCGCTCTTGCATGCAGCAAACACCTCAGCAGCAGTCGTGCCTACACAACAGCAGCAGCAGCAATAGCTGTAGCATATTTGTATGAGCCAGATGTAGCAGCAGCACCCCGGCGTCAGCAGCAGAAGCAGCAACAGCAACAGCAACAGCAGCAGCAGGAGCAGCTAGGCGTGGTGTGGGGTGTGGGGTGTACCTGGAGGTGGTTCCTTGGGAAAGATGACGCAGCAGCAATCGGAAGCAGCAGCAGCAGCAAATGCATCTCTACCTATTCCTGTGTCTAAAGAAGAGGGGGCTACTAGCAGCAGCTTGCCCCCTGCTGCGAGGCTGCTGCATGCAGCATATTCTTCTAGCTGCTGCCGTGTGCATATACACTGCAGCCGGCCCACTTGCTGCTGCTGCTG